AAAAAAAAAAAAAAAAAAAATAAATAAATAAAAATAGTCTCGGCATTCGTACAGAATTGAAAAATATGTCATATAGTAGTAATACGGTATATTATAATACATATATACACGTGCGTATACACACTGCATTGTTCGGGAATTGAAAAAGAAAACCAATTCCGAAACGGCGGTAAACGCGAGCGCTAAGTCCGATTATTGTTGTAGACGTATACTTTCCTTTCAAAGGAGCCGGGTCGGGCGGGAGAGTGCGACGCGTGGAAATAAATCCAACGTCCGCAACACCGCGTTCCGGTTTTTTTTATTTTTTTTTCTCCAATAATATTTGGCGCGCTCGACTCCGACTTTACCAGAAACGCGTTCGTATTGTATCATCAACCCCCACATCGAGCGGTGAGGGGAAGTGGCGGTTGGGGAAGGGGGGTTGAGAGGATAACGAAAATGAGTCGGTACACGCGGGGTAAATTTGTGTCGAACACTTATTTCAGATTTTCCGAGTGTACAACGGCTAAGGCTGCGTATTATACCGGTCAAGTAACCGCAGGGGCGAATCCGGAGACTCGGTTTGGGGGCCGGGGGTTTGTTTTTCTGAAAACTTTACAACAAAAAGCGTATATTATTTTATTGTTAACAGTTTATTTCTTCTACTACGCACTGTATATAAACACAGTGAAAGAATATTTTTCCAGGATAGGAGTGAGGGAATTTATGGAGAGAAGAAGTCCGGAAATCGATAAAGGATTTAAAGTGATGACGGTGGAAACTCTTAGAGAGTATTAAGGGCCAGATGAAGGAAGAGAAGAAGTATATTATAAATAGTGTACACCTCTAACCGCGCACTTGTACCGCGTGTCTGAAATAGTCGATTGTATATTATTTTGTGTGCGATTGATTTTAACGAAAAAACACAGGCTTGGATGGGAGCCGCAACCTCTCACCCCCCACCCGGAACCGCCCCTGATTGGCCGGGAGTAAACGGAGAGAATATGATCACCCGGGTAACAGTTCAATTTTGGACTGGATAGAGTTATAAAAACAAAAAATCACTCAAATCGATGACAATACACGTGTTCGTTGTAGCCCGGGTGCACACGTTATACGCGACAACGCGACACGATTTACAAATCCCGTAGCTCCGTCCTCGGCGAAAACCTACCGAAACGCGATCGAGTGTTGCGTAGACGTTTTCGTTTCTTTCTCTTTTTTCGTCCGGCAAAACGATTATCCGGTTTGTAAAAAACGATCCGATTTTTTTTCCGTGCCGCGCGCGCCAGAATTTGCGGATTTTTCTCCGGCGGCGGTTCGGAACGTTCATCGAAATTCGTTCCGTTCCTTTGTTGACAATATGCATCGTGCACCGATTTCCCGAAAGTACACAAAGTTAAAGCGCCTTGTGTTTTGTACAAATGTTATAATGACGGTTTGTAAATCGAAAAATAAATACGAATTCCGCGTGCGTACACCTATATACTTTCGAGTTAAATTATTTTGATTACGGTGCCCTCCCCCTCTCCATCCTCCCCCGCGATTAAAACCGTAACGTAAGTATAATCAGTATAGTGTATATAGTTTTTTAATCATAAACCGAAAAATGTGTTTTTATTTTAATTTCCCGCTAAGCACACCGCGTATAATTTTTTTCTTTTTTATACAATATATACGGAAAACAACACTCTGAAAAATATTACCGTGTTAAATAAACAAAAAAAAAAAAACAGCGTATATTACTAGGTCGACCGTAGTGGTATAATGTAATAACGCGCATTTTTTATTATTATTTTTTTTTTCTGTTTCGCGATTCACTCGCATAATATTTAATACGACAAACGCGGAACGAAATTATCACGAGTATATGTGATTTAAAACTTTTTATACCTGGTCGCGACACTTCTAACAATACAATAATAATTACCGTCTTAAAGATTTTCTTTATCGCGTGAAACTTTGGCCGCGTTTTCTTTCAAATTATTATTATTATTTTCTAGACTTCGAGTGTAGCTATCTGCGTATAATACGTATACGTATAAAATGTTTCGTACCGATTGAACGACCGAATTCGCCAACGCCAAGCCCAAAACGCCAAAACCCCGAAAAATATTATATACGCAGCCCGCACAGTCGTCGCATTTTATTGCGCGGTCTCTGTAGCCAGGGTTTTCTCTGCGAAACGAAAAAACCGCATAGCACTTAGGTGTTGGTCAAAACTAAGGGTATAATTTTTGTTTTTTTTTTTTTATGCGAAACTTTATAATTTCTCTAAGTTTTTACCTAGATATTAACCATTCTTGCGCCGTTAGACCGGTATACGTAGTGCGTACAGAGCGTAATCGATCAGTATTATTTTTTTCGATAACGAGATTACTGTTTATACCGGTACGGCAATGACGTTTTATGATTTGCGAACAAACAACGCCGAGATAAAGTTAAAACAATCAACAATATTCTACGAGCACTTGAATTACCGTGATAAAACGTGTGTTTACTATCACTTGACATTCGATCTGTCCGCCAACGGCGTCCTATCGCAAGTCTATCGGTAAGTCGCACTCACGAACAATAATATTTTCAAACCGTAAACGAAATAATATTGTTTATAATTTATAAGTTATTATTTATTTCGTTTCAATTTTGAAACTCGATAACAATTCCACGTGTACTCGTATATAAATTGACGAGGTAATTGATGATTCGGTGGAAAAATGTTGCGAGTCCACTCGAACCCGACCGCGTACTAATTTTACAGTGTTGTTAACTTTTACAAGGTACGGAACACTCGTTCGTTTAGTTTAATAGGAACTTCGTCCGGTTCTGCGTTTGTTTAACAGCGAAATCAACTCGTAGCCGTGAAAAATTATTTTAACGTCGTAATGTTTACTCGTTGTTACGCAATAAATTGGCGTCCGTAAGTCGTTGCGGCACGTAAAAGAATGCCGCGAGATCTATAAACGGATACACATACCCGGGTCTCGCGTTCATCTGCAGGCATGCAAAGGGTTCGAAAAACAAATCTCAGCAAAAATGTACCGTGGTTATTTAAAAGTATAATAGAAATGATTATAGGGCCCGGATTTACATGCTCTGAGATCCTTAGAGATATGCACTGTAAAATGTGCATTTACGCACTTATTTTGTAGAAATACGCCCTTTAAAACGACGCATATAGACAAAAAATCGATTTTCAATACAAAAATATTACTTTTTAATTTTTATTATTTTTAAACCAGTAAAAACACAACCAAAATATTACATATTTTGCATTTAAAAACCACTTGTATGCAACGAAAAAACGTTTCTTAAATGTTCTTTAAAACAAATTTCGAAAATAGTTAACACTTTCCGAGATAATAAGTATCTTCCGATAAATTTATCACTCCGTATATCGAAATTGTACACTTCAAATTTGAATACGGCGAAACAACAAATTTTCTTTTATAATATACAAAAAGTGCACATTTAATTACACATTTATTTGTATAGTTTTATTTCCTTTAAATAATATAAAAGAAAACACTTCGATCGCGAAATGCAATAATAATTTACACGCAAATATTGCACACAAATGAAAAACAGATAATTTAATATATTATACGTGTGTATATTTTTATGAAAATTTGTAAGTGTGTATACTTAAATTTCGAGTATATTTTTTTTTTTTTTTTTTGTTTAATTCATAAAACGCACAATAGAAAAAGTACGTATAATAATAAGAAGTCAATACCGACCCGCTCTTTTTGACCCTTTTTTATTTATTGTACCACACTCGTGTACTGGGTCGGTTTTTGAATAATAGGCGCGCAATAAAAATGATAAATAAAAAAAAAAAAATACACGAATACTGCGCACGCGCAAGATCGTTTTGAATACGTTTTCGCCAATAATATTTTTTACGCGCTGTAGTTTTCACACTATTACAGGCGACATCCAAGCACAATAATAATACACGCATATTTATGTTCAATTCATTTACCGTACAAAAGGTATTATATAGTATTTATCGATCGCGAAAAGAAACGGTTTTACGCGCGAGAAGTTAACCGATTTATAACAAAAACTGCGTGCATAATATTTTCGCACGCGTACACATTGCGCGTTTAGTTAAAACCGTCGTCGTCGATCATGTTTGTGCTGTTTAAAACTCTGTTCTGACGATTAAAATCAAATCGAACCTTGTTGTCGAATATTTAGGATGTTTCCTATTTGTATACAATACGCTCGAACTTGAATTAGTTTTTGACTTTTGATCGATATTCTCGGAACAAACTTTGCTGGCATTCGGCGCTTCTATAGTTCTTCGATCACAATTTGTTTGGCATATACCATATTTGAGAATATTTATATATTTTTTGTCATGCGAAATGTGCAAAAAAAAAAAAAAATAAATGAATAATAAACATCATCGTAAAACCGATACATTCCTCGCTCCGCTCGGAATCTCGTATGCGGAAAAATCCTCTCGAACCTCTAAAAACCCAGTCGAGTTACTCTGCTTTCGGAATTATCATAAAATCGCCAAACGTCATAAAATGTTTACATGTTATAATAGTAACCGTAGTTTACACAAATATCGAAGAAATAGTCTTAAAAACCAACTAAACTAATCCTACTGCTCTTAAATGTTCAGTATACAAGTACCGGTATTAATTTCGATATTTTTTGATAATCACTCTTAAGTAACAGAAAAAAATCGACAACATACTCGGCTTAGAAATGTGGTTTCGCAGTCTTCCGCGCAACTTGATGCGTACTGGATTTTCTGTTATCTATTGACCTGTACAGCTATTACATGCTATCACAAAAATTGAATAATATAGCCCGCGGACTCGTGAACTGAATGCCCGGCGCTTTTGGGTTTCGTTTTTTGGGTATACTGATCATTGGTAATAGTTAGAGAAACCGCTTTTTCGTATACGTAGTCGTGGGATACCCCTTTGCTTGGCTTCCCGGTGAATCGAGGAGGGAAAATTACCTTTCAGAAAAAGTGCTATTTATTGTCTATAGCAAGTTTTCCGTTAGGAAAGTTGTTCGCGGGCACAAAAAATAAAAAACGCACATCGTAGTAAAGCTAGTTAATAGTTCCTTCGTTACGCTCCGAATCTCAAAAAAAAAACCCTCATAAAATCGTGTAACACCCGTAAAAAACGTCGTCTGCAAAGATGGTTTATCAAATATGAATATTCGCGGTTACGATTTTCAGCATAAATCGCTGGAGTGCTGCAATAACGATAATATTTTGTCGTATACAAACTGTTCTGCCGAACGAAATTAATTTTCACGACTTACGTTCGAAACTGCCCGTATAAATATATTTATATACGCGAAAAGAAAAACTTTTGATCGTTTTTCACGCAGTTTATTTTTTTTTTATTTTTTAAATTTATTACTCGCATCGATTACCTATTCGATTTGCTCGCATTCTAACTTTCTGACTACTACGCGTTGTTACCTACCACCACTCAACAAAACTGTTACACCGTCACAAATCACTCGATCGAACGGAATTCCCGATTTACTATTAAGGGTTTATTTATATCGATCTCGAACTAAAAGCCGGACAAAACTGTACGAAACGTGTTTGCCGGATATCAATTTTGAAAGCGGATTACGATTCTTCGGGTTCACTACAAAGAAATATAATTATTTTAATTGTTATAAACGTAATGGGACGGAGTCTAAAAATCGTGATTCCTTTTTCAAAATTGAAATCCACCGAGTTACATCCATACAGTTTTTTTGTCTAGCATTTCGGTCAAATTAATTTATGCTACGGTAGAACCAGCCGTATCCCTTTTCCTTTAAACAAGCGTTGAGTAACGAATCGGTGAACAATTTTTACCGTAATGGCGGTAATTAAAAGCGAACGTCTGGTTTTCACAAAATTTGAGTAAATTTAGAAAATCATTGCTAATGCGATTTTGTTTCATACATTATTCGAATGAGACCCGAATTTTACCGCGTACAACTGAAAATATTTTGCGAATGTGCAGTGATCCCGAAGCAAACGTAAAGTTTTCTCTTTCGAATTACAATTTGACTGCTCAATGGGGAAGGGGCGTCAGGTCAGTAGGGATGTAGGTGTAACCGGGTATACGTTTGGTAGCTAGGTATGGCGGTTCCGACCGGGAGATAAATATAACGTGATATTTTAACTTTGACTACACGGGAACTTGTATAAGCGTATTCGATTATTATGCGCAAGAGAGCGAGGCGAAGTAGTAATAATACTAATACTTTTTACAGTTACCGTTTTCAAACGACCTAGCCGATCCTATTGTTGTGTTCAAAGTTGTTTATCACGCCGAAAGGTAAAAAGAAGAAAAAAAAACCGTTAATCTTATTATATAAAGTTTAACAACGTGGAAAATACCGTGTACCTATATAATAACAATACGATATACTGTAGTTTACTTAATATCGCCTATACCTTCGAGCCGAGACCACATCGGTACAATAAATGCACACGTATACAGTGTGTCCCGCCGTGTTCGACGGATTTTTCTAGCGCTGTTAATATTAAATTTGTCTCGGTTTTTTTTTTTCAATAGGTTTTTCTTCGAATGGGACATCGGAATTGATGAAAAATCAAATTTTTATTTTCATCCCCTATAGACAAAAAAAAAAATAATAATAATTATAAAAATAACTTTTTATTTATTCACTTTAGAAGATTTTCAAAAACAGCCATTTTGTAAAAAATATTATCACAAAAATTGTAATGTATCATACACTCATATTCGATTAAGTTTTTTACAGTTTTTATACAGTTTTTTTAACTATAGCCGTTATAAATTCTAGAAAATAGACGTGAAAACAATTAATACTCAATAGAAAGTAAATAATTCGGTGTTTAAATTCAGTTAAACTTCAGCGAATCGAGATCGGCAACTCCCCACAAATCCGAGGAAACTTTTTAGTAAATAATATTTTAAAAACATGATATTATTTCCAAAATACGAATTACGATTTATTGTTCATATATCATTAGATAAACGATTGGCGTCAAAATTTAAAATTACAATATTATTTTTTTTGGATTTGTCTACTTTGAAAAATGCTTGAACCTTAAACTGGAACAGTTGGATATTACGTATTTATTTTATTTTGCAATGTAAATGCATTCATTGTGTGCAAATGCATTCCGAATACAACTAGATCATATAGATAATACACTTGTCTTGTAATTGAATAATACTTATACTTATGTAAACAACCGTATATTATGTATTGTGTTTCTCCCTCGTTTAAACGCTATCTCCCTACCCTCAGGAAAAGGTCTCGATTTAACACCGTTCTCAGTGCACTAATCTGATACGGTGTTGAGCAATACCTGGATAATAAACAAAATTAATTATCTGATGAATTTTTTTAGATGAATAATTTAGTTATCTAACGTAGTTCGTCTAGATAAATAAATATATATACCTGTCCGAAAAATTCGAAAAATTATGACTTGAAAGTTAAAACCCGTGTCTCATTAGTAAACCAACATTGTACAAAAAGAGAACAAAATTAAAAACATAAAGTAATAGACAATAATATTATCCGGGTCGCTTATTTATGCCATTTCTAAATTTTAACAGAAATTGTAGATTGGAGAATCTAGTATAAATTGACGAAATATTGTAGATTAATTAATAAAATTAAAACAATATTATCTTATTTTTTTATCCAGATTAATAGTGGTTTATCTTTTATCTTTATCTAGATAAATTGTATCCAATTGTCTTATATCTTAATCTAAATACATTTTTAGTTATCTTTGCGCAACACTATCTGGATCCAACACTGCAAAACATCCACTAATTTTCATATTATCGTTCCGTTCGTTTTAGATTTTTAGATTTCTACGGTTGCCATGCAAGCACAAAGCCGGTTAACCGGCTTGTATAATATTCTACTCAGAATCGTTTTTCGTTATCAATGATCTATCGCTGTGTATATGCATACATGCATTATTACAGTACTTAAAACAGCTGTACGCCCAACTGTCAAATCAGCCTAATTTTTTTTTTTTTTTTTTTTTTTTGAAACAATTCTGTCAATTTTTATAATGTAAACTATGGAGATTTTAGAAAGACAAATAATCCGAAACTCGTATGTTGTGATCACGCGATCACAACATACTGACGCGCATATTCCCTGGGAAAAAAATAACCGATAAGGATAAAAAGTTTCGTCCGGAATGCCGCGATGTACATTACACCACCGTAATATTTTGTTTTGTTTTTTTCTTTTATGTTAAATAGCCGGCCGTAAGACCGACGATTTAAAAAGGTTTTCTTCCCACTCTTTTCCTTTCACTCACGCATCACTTATGCTGCTCTTACGGCCCGCGAACCTTGCGAACACCGCGATTCATAAGTCCGTGCTAAACTCGAAAGTTATTTAATTTGACAGAGAGCGCGGCGGGGAATGTGCCGGCGAGTGGTTGGTAGTGGGGGGAGGGGGAGAAAGCAGATAATGTTAATATTTCACCGCGAAATCTCGGGTGAATATCGTCGTCGTCGTAGTCGTAATCGTAGTAAGCGTAAATTTTTATCATTATTATTATTATTATTATTAAGATCGGCCGAATTGCATTAAATTTTATCAAACAGTAGCAAGACTCGGCCCCGTATTGTCCACATAAAATAATATACAAGCGATAAAAATCTTACGCGAAATATTATTACTATTATTATTATTATTATTATTATTATTATTATATTCTCGGCAGCAGCTGCGGGGCCCGTTAAAACGAAATGAAACGTCCGCGGGCCGAGCTCGTGTGCAAAAAAAAAATCAAAAAAATAAATAAATTAAACGCGAACAACTACACGCCGCGCAACAATGGCCGTACCTGAGGGGGGCCGCGGGCGTCGCCCCCTCTCCCGCTGCCCGTTTAGTATATTACGTAAAATATCGATTTAATAAATTAGACAAAAAAAAAAAATCGCTTTTTTTATGAATTTAATGTCGCGTTTTACGTTAAATGCATAAATTGAAACATTTGCGGTGTCCGGCGATGCGTTGATAATAATCGATTAATATCTTTATAGTTGTTAAATAACTTTGTTTTTTTTTTTCAACGATTTTTCAAAATACATTTCGTCCCCGCCTCCTCGTAAAATGTGTCTGGGAACGCCACTGGTGCGCATTAACAATAATAGACGGTTTTTCTTTTGCCGCGCATCGGCAGTGGGTGTAGGCGGACTCGTTGCAGATTACGCGTCGAACTTTGAAAGTCGAAAAATGTCACCGACTCATCGCCTAAGCCCTAAGTCCTTTCCGGAGCCGTGCGGTTACGGCCGCGTATTAACTTTCCCTACTCAAAACGGACTGCGGACGCAAAAACCGCGACGGGTTTAGTTAAAGCGTCCTGGTAAAACGTGAAAAAAAAAAAAAAAACTACGCAATAAATTCGGTCTATGATCCGCGGATCTAACCGTCCCGATAACAATGACTGACACCATCAGCGCGCATGTTGATTTCTATAGATTCAAATCGAATAACGCTGTGCGTAATCAATCACGACTCGTCCCGGTTGCGGCCGTTTCAATTAGTAAACGTTTGTACCGGTCGCACACCGACATACTGCATCCGATTCTGGACCCGTACAGCTCATAATGCACCGTCCTATGTGCATTACGTGCACGTATCGACCAACAAGTTTATTAACGGTCGTTCCGTATTAGGTTTCTCGGGCAATTCCATTCGCTCGCTCACGTCTGTCGTCGACATTCGCGAACGACGATAACCCCAGGTTCGTTGTGAAAAAACCACAAGGAAAGGGGGGACGCGAAACGTGTTTCGCAAAGGCCGCGATCGAAACCAGTATCCCGAGTAACCCGAAGAGCAATCGACGACAATCGACGAAATTATTGTTTGACTTACAAATCGTAAACACAATCGCATATCGGGTGAAGCGTAACAAGCGATCTTGTTCAGAACGCGGTGCGGTGTATGTTATTACTGGTCCCGGTCACCCAGCCGCACGCAAACGGACCGCCGTTCCCGTAGCACGATAAAACTGCACGTAAATCGTATTGAAATTTATCACGTACATACGGAGAAAATTAATAAATGACAATAATTTTGGTTTTTGTTTTATACAGCGTGCCCTCGTGCGCGGGTGTTTTCTTCGTTCGGATTTTGTCCGCGCGCACGCTACAGGCCGAAAAGCATTCCGGCGATAAAATACACGCGAAACATAAATGAAAAATATCCGAGACGTGCAGTGCGTGCGCCGGCGAACGACGAGGAGACAAAACAAAACAAAAGAAGCGACGGCAGCACGGAGGAAAATCGGAAATCCGGTGGCGTGAAATGCTGCACGACAAGCGGACGCAAACGACGACGACGACGTAAATTCGTAAATAAAATATGTATAACAACAATAGCGTTTAAAAAATATAGTAAAAAGTACATCGAGTTTTGAATATGTATATATATATGCGACAACGCGACAACGTTTTTCTCGTATATACAAAATATAATCGCGTTTACACTTCTCGTTCACCTCGTTAAGAAACACGGCACGCGCGTAGAGACGCGAATGATAAGATTGGCGTGAGATAAACGAGCGTTGGGAAATTTAACTGTTACCGATGAAAATACTTTTAAAATCGCATTGCCGGGACGACGACGCGTTTTATTATTTTCGTTTAAACCAAAAAATGGAAAATACATTTCGCGATGTAAATGCGAAAAAAAAAAATTGAAAACAGAATTAACGATAACATCGTCGCACCTGAACCAGACGACGGCGCTTGTTTATTCCTACCATCGTTAAAAATCGCGTATACAAAATGTACTTTGTCAAACTCGCGTTATTTTCGTGGCCGGGGCAGAGGCGTGGCTATGAGTAGGGGATACTCTGGGGCTCAACAGTTTTAATGTGAATTTCAATTTTTGTATAGTTTATAATATATAATAGCCAATAGTCTATTTTTTAAGGGATAATATTATATTATGTGCGTTTTAAATTTGAAGCTTGCGACTGGTGGCCACTTTTAAATCCAGTCCTGGAACCTTTACGATTTTAAGGATTTCGGTTCGGTCTCGGTTTTTAAAAAAAAATAACTATTAAGGTTTCCGGTCTTGTTACGGGCTTTTGAGTTTCCAGTCACTGTTTTAAACATCGGTGTTTTTCACCGTGGGAAGAATTTAAAACAAACATGTCCTAGGAAAATAGTCAACCGAGTATAGATGATAGGATTGAAAATTTGAAGGGTGAAAAAGTGTCGAAAATACGTTTTTCGCGGTTATTTTGTGTTATCAATTTCACCGTAATGTATAAAACGTTCTAATTGCATGGCAGTATATAAGATCTGAATGTTTGCGTATACGGTTTACGATGCGCGTAGCCACGTCATGTTATTCGATCATCGCGCCGAACCTATTGAGTACAACATCAGCGACTCGTGTACCTATATTCGTGTGTTTAAACAAATTCGACGACTATAAGCGATAAATTTGCATGTAGATTAAGCAAATAATTGTTGTGGCCCGGGGTGCCGTATGTTTGCAGGGAGTCGTACAAAATATGTATAGTTACGTGTCAAAGACCCGAAAATAAACGTCTTAAAATACCGCGACCGGGTTTATCACGATGCTATAAAGTTTCTACTCTTTTAGCACTATTTCAAATTTCTCCATAGGTAACCATCTGCAGTTGATGGTGTTTCAAGTCACACAGTTTCGTCGTTAAGTTACATACACATACCCTCAAATATACAATTTATAGTAACGACTGATGTTGAACCTTGGACAATGTTCGTAACAGTCGTTTAGTAGATCGAATTGTATACTGTTAATTTTGAAGTGAATTAACTTATTGTCAGACTTATACGTAATGATATTATTTGTGTTTGTGCGTTAGTTTTTCTCTCGATATTTTGGTTTTTAAACGAGAAATTCATATTAAAACTAACAACACAAAATTGCTTATGCCCACCGAAAATTTGACATTAACACATTACACGTTGATAATTTTTTTTTAGTTTCTTCTTTTCAGTTTTTAAGTTAAGGCGCTATTAATTAATCGTATAGAACAAGGGAATTATTTTTATGATGCTGCAGCTTATATCCGGAAAATGTCAAAATGTCGGTATATTTTCGTTTCTAGTAGCCTTGAAAATATCATAATCTTAACTTATCAAAGTTTCCGTTTTGGTTATTCCGCGGTACACTATTGTTAATATTATATGGAAGACGATGAATACTTAACGAATAGTTTACCGCGATATGATGCATAATAGTAATAATAATTTCGAGTATTGAAAAGCTGCAGTGGCGTGCAGCAGGAGGACGGTCAGAACGGACGTCAAGGCGTGTGGACGAGATAAAATGATGTTATCGCTACTCTCCTCGCCACGCGGACTTTGGTAAACTATTTCTCCGTTGTTATTAAACGTCAAAACTTTCAAAACGTTCTACCTATGTAAGAATTTAAAATAACTAGCATACATAAAATTATAATAGTGCACGGTTTACCGGGTTATAGAAAAAAAAAAAAAAAAAAAAAATGATAATAATTGTGTATTTAGCTGTTCTACAGCTATTTTACTGTTTACTAAAAAACTTTGTCAAATATCATCTCGAGAGTTGAAAATCCCGGACACACTTCGCACCGCTGGTAAATAGGCCACTCACTGTTGTTTGCGGGAAGTCGAAAAGGTAGGGTATGCATTGTGCAGTGTAATTTAATTAATGTACCAAATCACTGCGATAAAGAAAACAATACTGAGTGGATTTAACCATATTTTTAGAAGTTCTATAGTTTTTAGAGAATGTATAGAGTGGAGTGAATGAAAAGGCAGGACAAATGCAGAGCTAGAGACTTTATCCCAGAACTTACATAAAACGGATGTAATGAAAACGCAAAGACTACAATGGATGGTGCGTACTTGAATAAGTCAAAATGAACTAATAAGAGCAGCGGTGAAACGACATTCTCGCGGAAAGTGCCGCTGAGAAAACCCAAACCAAAATAAGATGGGAAGATTTATTAATAATAAACGTAGAAACGTTAAATTGGAAAGAAAAAGCAATGTACCTATAGGAAATAACGGAGGGGGGAATTGGTGTGAAATATGATGTTCATAAAAAGCCTTATAATCAAGAAGACAAAGTAGAAGTATAGCATAGTATCGTGTCGTTTAAATATTCGGTTATTTATTGCTTTACGAAAAAAAAAAATGAAAAAAAAGTTTTTACAGTTTCAATATATAATAGGTATGAGTAAATTTGAATCTGGAGATGCTCACGGGTGTTTTAAAATAACGCGTAAACGAATATCAGGTGCCTATATGGGTTTCGACGTACGTATTGACGATGAAAAATCTGAGAGAGAAAAAAAAACACACATAATACTTTATTATATTCATTCATTATTTCCATTTGTGTATATTTGCACTTGAGAATTTGGTGTTCTACCAGTTAAAGGTCTGTATAAAAAAAATTGCCATTCCATTCAGTTTCAAAAAGTTCAGTAAATGTTATAACGGTCGTCTAGGTCTTGAGAACATAAAGGAAAATAGACGGGTGTAATATACCAATCCGATATTCTTGTAAATCTTTTGGTCAATCATTTGTGAACCTGTGTTTTTCAACTCTATGCCATGTCAATATAAATAAAAAATATCATTTTCTCTAAAAATAATGTTGAAATAATAGTTTATAACCGATTGTTTTATCAATTATTTTAAGTCGTGCATTTGTTTCGTGTTTATGTAGTTTATTGTCTGTATTCTTTTTTATTAATTGTTTTATTTTTTTTTTTTTTTTATTTATTTTGCGTTTTTATTTAAATTATATACTTAAATTTTAGTTAAGATTTATCTTTTTACTATTTACCTCTAACACAAACTATTAACTTAAAAGAGACAGATAATCATGTACGTTATTTGAAATTGTATTTCTTTGTAGTTCATGATGATTAAAAGAAAAAGAAAAAAATTGTTAGATGATAATATTATATTGAACCGAAAACCGATCGTGCCGGGACTATTTTAGTAGCCAGTACTTAGCGCATAATAATATTAAAGTTTAATCAAATGAAATTTAACAATAGCAATAATATCGAGTATGTCCTTTTGGGAGTTTTAATAATCCGGATGTCACGCAGTGTATTCCGAATTTGATGTCATGAGTTTTGAGAGGGGTAACGACATTGGGCATGCTGCTCCTAGTTCACCTACACGTACTAAAGTGTTACGTGTAATACAATATTCGGAAGACCGCTGTTGTTACGCGGGATAAAATGTAATTACTTTAATGGTCTTATCGGTTTTATACGCATGGGTACGGTCTTTCGAGAATCAATAAATTTTCTATACTTATGCTAATCGCGTGTGTAGCTACGCGTTTCGTGCACCCATATCTAAAATCCATACGAATAAACTCGGCGAAATAATCAAAACGCGTGCACCTAAAATATTAAGGGGATAGCAAACGCCGTTGTGATTTTCGTCAAAAAGATCCGAATACCTGATAAATATCAAATCACTCCGTGTGGATTGGTTTCAAATATGTAAATATGTCTACAATGAGTTTATAGAATATATTTTTATTTTTATTTTTTTTTGCGCATCCGGTTTCCGTGTTTAAAAATCTACACTAGTTGGGTCCCGGGTTTATGAGGGCAGTTTTACCAGCTATTTAGCTATTTAATAATGTAATATGAATATTAATCAATGTAATAGTTTAGAAGTTTAGAAAAACAAAACGCAATATATTATGCATCCCGATATTTCCCGGTTGATAGAAGTTTTAAAAAGTACCGGAACACAGATACTTACGTTAAAACGAGAAGTACGGAAAGAAAAAGGAAACAAAGTCGTTTTTTACAAAAAGAAAAACGTATAAAGGGTTAAATGGCAGAAAATCACTGGCAAAGTAGACTGTAAGTCCCCG